TTTCATGAAAGACTCCCACTTGATCGAATCCTCCACCTGCATTGTTTCATCATAACACTCTGGTTCACCATTGTCAGTCAGCAACAAGTAGTGAAAAAAAGGTAAATAACGTTGGGTTTGTTTAGGAATTCTGAAGGAGCGTCTCAGTTCTGGTGTACCTGGTTCTTCTTGAACTGATTCAGGACTGATCTGAACATCATTTCCTGAAATCTCCTCAAACTCAGCAAATTCCTTTATTTCAGCTTCGGTATTGGAGCTACTTGATTCTATTGTTGACCTGTCTTTGTACATCACATTCTCATTGAAAATGACATCTCTTCTTCTGATTATCTTTCGATTTTCATAGTCCCAAAACCGGTAACCAAACTCGTCACCACCATAACCAACAAAGATATATTTGTTAGACTTAGCATAAAGTTTACTTCTTTCAACAGAATTTATTTGTACATAAGAAATACAACCAAACACTCTTAAGTGTGAAAGGTTTATTTCTTTTCTGCTCCAAACTTCCTCTGGTATTCTACCATCCAAGGGAACTGAGGGCCCACGGTTGATCGGGTAAGCTGCAGTGTTGATAGCTTCAGCCCATAGCAATTTGGGCAAGCCGACATATATCCTCATGCTTCTGACACGTTAATTCAAAGTTCTGTTCATGCGCTCTGCTACGCCATTCTGTTGCAGTGTCATGAGAACTGTTGTTTCCATCTTGATCCCACTGTTTGTGCAAAATTCTGTGAATCTACTATTTATGTACTCTCCATTATCATACCTCAACCGCTTGACTTTCAAATCAGTCTCATTTTCCACCATGGCCTTTTATTTTCTGAAGGTATCAAAGACTTTGATTTATTCTTCAGAAAATAAACCCATACATTCCTTGTAGAATCATCGATGAAGGAGACATAATATAGTGAGCCTGTAAGAGATAGAACTGTAGATGGTCCCCATACATCAGTATGAACCGACTCTAACTTTTCTGCATTGGGTGTCTTGCCAATCTTTGCAAAACTGACTTTCTTTTGTTTGCCAAAGATGTAATCCTCACATTGTTCGACATCTATACTCTTTAGATCCGGCAGCTTCCTTTTGACAAAAGTGTCTTCATCCCTTTCTCGTTTATATGACTAAGCCTTTGGTGCCATAGGTTTGATTTTCCATCAGCATCTACTACTACAATGATATTCTCCAAGTTTGAGGTTACATAAAGAGTATCAGTTTTCTTACCACGAGTAATGACAAGTGCTCCTTTAGTAATCTCCATTCAAGTTGTCCTACAGAAATCAAATTTCTTTTGAGGTCAGGAATACGTTTAACTCCTTTCAGCTTCCAGGTGGTCTGATTTGGCAACTTTAATCGGATGTCTCCTTTTTCGACGATCTTCAAGGTTTAATCATCAGCTAGATGAACCTTCCCAAAATCACCACTGATATAGTTCTCCATGATTTCTTGGGATGGGATGGCGTAGAAAGATGCCCCTGAATCTAAGATCCATGATTCAATCAGACTGTTGACGCTTAGAATCATGACATCACCTGTTTCCTCTGTCATGTTGGCAGATTCCTGTGCGTCGGTATCTTTCTTCGGTGCTCGGCAATCTCTTTTAAAGTGATCATTCTTGCTGCAATTATAACAGTTAAAATCTTTCTTTCTCGTTATTGATTTTCCCGTTCTAGATTTCAATTTGCCACGATTTGGATTTCTTTCTGAAGTTCTCCCTCTAGACTCCGTGTGCAAGGATGAGGAGCTTGATGTTTCACCTGATTCTCTCTGTTGAATTTCTTCACTTAATACCAGATCACGAACATCGTCGAATTTCAATTTACTGTTTCCCGATGAGCTGGTGACTATTGTGACATTAGCATTCCAAGTGTCTGGTAGAGATGATAAGATAATTAAAGCTCAAACTTCATCATCGAATTCAATTTCCACGAAACTCAACTGGATTGTGATTTTGTTGAGTTCATTTAGGTGTTGAGCCACTGATGCCTCTTCCGCCATCCGCAAATTGAATAATCGCCTCATCAAGTGAACTTTGTTTGAGGCTGATGGCTTCTCATACATACTGGAGAGAGCCGTCATAAGACCCGCCGTGATCTTTTCCTTTGTTATGTTGAAAGCAACATTGCGGGATAACGTCAGTCGGATAACTCCGAGGACTTTTCTATCGAGAAGAGCACAGTCTTCATCCTTCATGCCCTATGGTTGCTTTCCTGAGAGAGGTTGATATAGATTTTTCTGATATAGAAAATCTTTAATCTGCATCTTCCAAAAACCAAAGTTCGCACCATCGAACTTCTCAATTTTCACTTTCCCTTCGTTTACAGTCATCGCTCCCACTCGAATCTGGCTTCTTTTGGATTGTTTCTAACAATTCATGTGAACCACCGTGTATTAGAACACCTCTATCGACAAACTTGTATCGCCGACAAAATTTTACTATTCACGAAATTTACTATTCATGTGAATAGTGACCTCATAGAAAACTGACAAAATTCACCACCAAAAAGGTCTTGATACCAGTTGTTGGGAAATTAAACGAGTAATTTCTCTATAACCATATTAGTGAGAATGTGAAATAAAAAACGGAATAATAATACCCGAAATTGATAACAAAGTTTGGTCAATTATGCTTACGTCTCCAAACTGATGCAGATCTTTTACTAAAGGAAGAAAATTTACAAGTGTTTACAAAAAAACACTAACTACTCACAACCCAATTACACTATGAAAATTGCTCCCAAGAAAAACTCTCTAATTTCTCTAGTATTGGGAGAGGGTTAGAATGATTTGGGATGATTTTGAAACTAAATGAGTTAGGGTATTTATAGTTGAAGCTTAAGGATTAATCTTGTAAATATCTTAAAATACAGGGATTAAATGAACAATTTTCCCATACCAATTTTTCAACCAAATCATGCTGTCAATTTTCAACAATTGTTGCTGTCAACTTATTGGTGTAATTGCTGTCAACTATCAATGCAAGTTTCTATGCATTATTCAAAACCAATTTTCAACAGGTGCACTTGAGATTCTTTTTGAAGATTTTGTTGTCCCAATGGCTTTTTGTAGCCTAGTTCCATCCGTCTGTCACAATACTTCTCCCCCAATGGAATCATTTGGTAATAATGAATGTCATGAAACTCAAATGTTTACATTTGTAAATATAAGTCTATGATTTTGTCGTCACTGAAATCCATAACCATTAACCACTACCTCTATCACTGTACATCAGCAGTGAGCTTGGACAGACCAAAAGAATCAATTGTAAAATCTAACCAAACCATATATTCAAATTGAAGAAAAATCAATGAGCATATTACCAAGGAAGAGGGATGAAGAGCTTTAAATGCTACCGTCTTAAACACCATTAAAGGAACAAACGATAATATCTACGATTGAACTTTAATATATCCATTGGATGAAAATGAGAATGAATAGAGACTTTTCTAATTGTAGGATCGAAATCTTTCTATTATAGATGTGGAATTATTTGTAAGGGAGTCGGATGTTCTTCTGACTGTCGAGTAGAGATCCATTCGTTATAATTATTGTCACAAGTACAATGATAACTGATCATAGGTTCTGTTGTAGATTCATTTGGGGATGACCACTAATTGTAGCATGATTGATCCCTCTAGAAATGAACTGTTGGCGGCAGTTTAATAAACCCTTTCGACTATATATATTTTTTAACGAATGAGATGGATGTTTTCTCAGGGTCATAGATGCCACCGCTCATATATTTTCTCAAAGCATGACACTGCATTGTTGATCCCTCAAACACAAGCTTTGAAAGTAACGTGATAGATCCTTCTAGCGATTAACTGTTGGTTACATTGTAGTAGATTCGTCTGCTAGAAAACCCCATCTGTAAAACTTGACATGTCTACATAGAATTCCACCACTTTAAATACAATGTTATATTGAATCTATCAAGATACCTCTAAGTGAGATACCCTTGTTACTCTAGTGGGATACCTCTTAGTGAGATGCCTCCGCTTTTATAGTGAAAGATGTCTTAACAATATCCCTCTGATAGATCTCTTCGGAGACAATCACTGATGGTAGTGTGGTAGATTCTTGCAAAGATGAACTTCGGCTCATAGAAACGCCTTACAACATCCCTCTGCTAAGTGCTGACTGTGGCGTAAGATGCCTCTGTCTGAACAACATGAAATACCTGATACCTCTATAGCTTTCATCTATTATAAACGTAATGTTGCACGAACCTACGAAGAGGTCTCTAAGTGAGATATTCCCATTCGTACAACATATGAAACCTTCTATGTGAGAGACTTTGCTTGTATAACATGAGGCGTCATGTATTCACCTAAAGCGTGAGATGTTCTACCGTATGTAGTACGAAGACATTATCACTCTAAAAGGCTTTTACGATTACAACGACCCGATAATAATATAGAAGTTCTTCTGTTTTAAAGAATAATAAATAAAAATATGTTTTATAATTTATGTTATAAGACAAAAGGAGGTTAGAGAAATTTCCAGGCTTTGTATGGAACCTTGTGATGCAATTGCAGTGTGGTCGTCGAAGCCACGTTGGTTAGACTTTACATAGTTCACATGCCTGGCCGTGTTGAAAGGCTGACTTCAATAATTCTTCACGGATACCAAACAGACAAGAAAATGGAAGTTGATTGGTTTACCAAACCCACAAAACAATTCTCTCTTTATACATATTATTGAATGCTGTTAAGTCTATCCCTTCTTTGACCGCACCAGTTTCCTACACTTTTATCAGTTGTGATAAAAACTTGGGATTTGAATCCCAAAGCTCTTCCTGAGTTTATTTGATTATGCTTGACTGAACTCTTTTATCTAATAAAAATTGAGTTCGAATTTATGTTCAATCTAACTCGTTTTTTTATGCTTAGAATTCAAATATTGAACTCTTTCCATTAACAATCGAATCAAATTTGAATAACTTCCTAGCACATATCCCTATTCACTAAGGCCCAGTAGGCAGCAGAATTCAGTAGAATATATTCCAACTGAAGGCCCGTTGCAGACAAAGAGATAAATGCAGCCCCACCAGCCCTCAATAGCTCCTATAAGTCATATATAAGTCCAAACTACCCAACAACTTGAGCGACACACAGATTCAGTTCATCAACCCTTTTCAAGCATTGATTGCCATGAAAGATCAAACACTTGTTTCTTACAATTCTACACCAGCACTAGGCTCTAACGCCACCAGCATCAAAACCCTAAAAATGCTAAGAAATCCAACCTAGCCAAACAAAGAAAAAGAAACTGAACATTGAAAAGCCTTGACACCACAATTTCCTATGTTGTAGATTGGGATGGTAATCTTGGGTGATTATGCTCACCTTCATAGGTAACAATAAGCATGGATGGCTCTTCCAAGCACCTCTCCACATGTTTCCTTGCAGGGCAACATCTCATGGTGCTACATTTATAATAACCCCTACACCAGTTAAAAAACAAATTATAACACATTCCACTTGCATGCATGTCAAATTCATATATCAATCAAATCTCAGTCTTTATATAATTATTACCTAGGGTGAGGCGAACCCTTGATCGGCTTCTGCCCGTATTTTCTCCATGAATAATCATCAGGAGGAATGTCTGCAAACTTGTTACTGATGGCAGGCACCTTGATTGACCTCTTCACTCTATGTTTCCTGTCCAATATAGCGCTATCAATTAAGTACAAAGTGGGGGAAACAAAAGTTGATCAAATAAGAGAGAAAACTAGAATCTAACCTCTTTTTAGAGCAATGGCATCTACAACTACTAGTTCCACATTTGACACTCCCATCTTCTTCTACCTTACCATAACATTTCTTCTTGTGCTGGGAATGGAAAGAACTCCCACCAGTACCATTCAAGTTAGCTACCCTTCCATCTATGCTCAAGGAAGAAATGAAAGACCTAGTAGATGACATGGTAGGTGTGTAGCTAGAGCCATCAAAGTTCAAGTTAATCCCACTACTACTGCTCTTCCTAGACATCATCATTTCAGCTTGTTGTTTCATCTGCTGTTGTGTTTGGAGGAAATCACAGTGCCCCGATGGCGCCTGTTGAGTGAGTTGAAGAGGGTTCTTCCCATTCGAACTCGGTTCCAAAGATGGGTACCCTAAACAAAGAGATTTCTTAGCATGTGAACTCAATTGTTGAACATTAGAGTGTGGAGTATCCAAGAGGGTGGTGTGAGGAAAAGGGGTTTGTGATTTCCTTAGCTTCCTCACTCTTGCATGTCCCAGACCATAGTTCAAAAGGGAAACTACTCTTTTGAACCTAAAAACAGCTTCCCCAGTTTCAGCCATTAAATTCCTGTAATTAACCTGGTCTTGGGGCTGAGACAAAATACTCAAAACTCTATGGGAGCTCTCTATTGCTGCTTTGTTAGACGCCTCAACCTCCTCCATGTTACCCCAAAAAAGAAAAACAAATTACCTAAACTAAAACATACACTAAAAACAGAAAAAATGGTAAAACATTAGATCTTTAAGCAATAAAAAGAAACATCATGTAGGAGGATAGGTCAACCCAACAGGGATTTCTTCAACATAGTTTAAACGAAAATTTAGCTTAAAAAGGCCAATTCTTTTGCTTACTTCCAAAACAGAGAAGGTCAATAAGATCAGAGACTGGCCGATGAAAAAGAAAGAAGAAAGGGGAAAGAAAAGAGCAAGCAGACAAGGATGAAAGCATAAAACAGATCCTAAGAGTAGGAGAAAACAAAGAGAAAATTACCAAAAAGAAGAAGAAAAGAACAGACCTTGTTGGACTTGATGTTTGTTAACCCTAAGATTATTCTTTCATGTGTGTAGTTTGAGATTGAGATTGAAAGGTGTGAAAGAGAAGAATATTTATTTCTTTGGGTAGGAGAGACTTCACAAACGGCTATGACGAACCAAAGTTGCCATTTTTTCTTTCCTTTCTACATGTGTATTACTTACTACTACTATTAATTACGAACATATTTTTAAAAGAAAATCAATAGAGAGAGAGAGAAGACGAAAGAGGATGGTTTCAACTTTCAATGAACAACGGAACAAGAGAGAGGTTGAGGAAAATGAAACAGCATCATTGTCATAGATTTGAAGTGGGTCCCAAGCAAAAACCTTGGGTTTATTCGGGTTTCTATTATACCATTTCTGGCTCTTTATTTCTTGAGTGCTTTCATTACAAAATTTACAATAATTAGTGCTTAAGTACTGGTCTTTTCTACAGAAGATCACCATTTTCAGCTACCAGTTTTTACTTCCGTCCGTAACCAGGTATGCTACTGCTTTCACGTTTCTTTCTTTGTCTATTACTCTAAATTTTGGATAATTTTATGCGTAAACTACATAAATAGTCATCAAACTTTTAGGGCACTTACATTTTGATCACACAACTTTTAGTTCGTTCCCGTCGTTACCTATCATTAGTTTTATTTGAGGTGACAATTTACCTCTCGTCTTTCTCCTAGCACGCTGACTCATCTTTCCTGTTTGAGAACAATTTCTCCATCATTAACAATCTTGGGGGTCCATACTTATTCTGAAGCACCACATTTCTCCCCTTTGGACCTAATATAACTCCAATCAACTCTTGCCACTTTATCCACAGCAGCATGCACCATACCAAAACAAAGAAAGAAGAACTAAAACACCATCTGGGTTTAAGCTTAAATATGCTTTAGGGATTTTTTTTTCAATTAACCTGAAGCTTCTTAGTGGCAGAGCCATCACGGTTGAAGTAAACTTCTTTGGCCACTGCTGTGGTTTTGGCCATGGCTGTGGGCTTTTTCAAGGTGGAATAATGTGAAGAAGATGACCTTCTGGGTTTGGACAATGTTGGGTTAGTGAAAGATATCTCAGTTAGTGGAGATGGTGAACATGCCATGATTGAGTTTTTGGGGAGATATTTTCTGTGTAAAAAGAAATGATATTCATGTACACATATATGGATGAAAGAGGAAAAAGAAGAAGAAATCCAAGGTTTGAACGTAGACGATGGGGTGGTTTTCAACGAGCGGGTCACGGTGGTGGTCTTCGTCTGTCTTTGACAACATTTCTCTGTCTCCACTAGAAGCGGCAATGTTGAGGATGGAGAAATATTTTTTTCTCCTTTTTTTTCTGACTTGAACAAACGGCATGATGGATGATGAGAAGAGTCAAAACTTAGAGAAAAAAAGAAGAAGAAAAAAAGTTAACGGAAGGTAACTAGCACGTCAGTACGACCGGAGGTAACGTTAGAAATTTTACTAAAAACAAAAGAAAATTTTAGGGACTGTATTGTAAATTTTAAAAGTTATGTGACAAAATATAAGTACCCTAAACATTCGGTGACTATTTATGTAGTTTACTTTAATTTTATTATGTGACAATTTAATTTAAAATTATTTTAAATTAAAATATTATTTTGTTCAACCTATATATTTTAGATTTTTGATATATTATTTTATTTAAAATATGTGATTGTAATATTATTTTTAAAATTAAAATGTATAATTATATCCTGATTTATGTACTATATTTAAAGTTTAAACGGTTTGAATTTATTTAATGATGTCAGTAATAAAAAGTAATATTTTATCCTTAAAAGTTAAAACTATGCCTGTAAATGAACCGAACGATCAAGAACGAGGTATATTCATGTTCGTTCGTTTAACTTTAACCGAACAAATGGACGAACACGAACATAAACGAACAAAAAATTTCTTGTTTGTGTTCGTTCGTTAAAAAATGTAGTTTGTTCGTGTTCGTTCATGTTCGTTCATTAAAAAATGTAGCTTGTTCGTGTTCGTTCATTTAAATGATAAACGAACACAAATAAATTAACATAAACGAACGGACGTAAATGGACATAAACGAATAGAATAAACGAACGTAAATAAACACAAACAAACGAACATAAAATAATACAATAAACGAGCGTAAGCGAACATAAATGAAAATGGATTTTTTTTCTTTCCTAACAATTTTAGAATTATATTTTATTTAATTATTTTCAGATTTTTTTTATTTGTATTTAAAATTAATTGAATTTTAAAATATTTATGGGTATCAAATTAAAATTTATTGAATTTTAATATTTTAAATAGGTCTAGAGAGATTGAGCTAAACATAAATGAACGCACATAAACGAACATAAATGAACGAACATATTATCGAACGTTCACGAACGTAAATGAACGAAGTTCATTTAATTAAACGAACACAAAATCTTGTTCACGTTCGTTCGTTTAATAAATAAACGAACACAAATAAACTTCCCGTCAAACGATTCACGAACGATTCACTGAACGTTCGATTCATTTACAAGTCTAGTTAAAACTATTTTAAATGTAAATTATGTCCCTTAAGAGTCAGCCACGCGGACTATTACATTAAACAATTTATTTTTCTCAATTAATAAATAAATGATTATATTTGATGTAATAAGAAGGTATATAAAATTTATGATGTATTAATGAATTAGATGGTGACATATCATTATATTATCATCTAATTCATTAATACATCATAAATTTTATATACCTTCTTATTACATCAAATATAATCATTTATTTATTAATTGAGAAAAAAATTGTCCGTCCAGCTCAGTTGGTAGAGTGCAAGGCTTTTAACGTTGTGGTCGTGGGATCGAGTCCCAAGGTGGGTAATTCATAATTCTTACTGCTAGAAGTCTTCCACAGAAGATGCTCTCAACCTGGTGTTGGGTCAGCTAATTTTATATCATTATTGTTGAAAAATTTTTGATATTTCGATATAACAAATTAAGTTAAATGAATTTTAAGATTTTCCAAAATGATTTTCTAAGTATATTCGATATAATTATTCGAATATCAAAACATTACTCAAAATATTTCAAAAATCATTTTTAATCCTTACTTAAGTGTAAAATTAAGTTTTAATCTTAAAACAATTTCAAAATAATCTTTCAAAGTATTTCGAACCATTTCAAAGCCAAAAATTCTAGATTGCTCAGAGGGAACCGATTCCCCCCCAAGGGGGTACCGATTCCCCCCTGTTCAACGGTCGAAATATTTGAATTTTACACTTAGGGAACCGATTCCCCATAGGGGGTACCGATTCCCCCCACGCTCCAAACTGTTTTATTAATTGTTTTCACACTAAAACGGCTATATGATCTTCACTAATCACCCCCAACGTTCAGAAGAGATTCAAGGTGTATTTAAACAAGTTCTGAAGCCCTTGATCAACAAGAAATCATAGAGAAACAAGAGAGAAAGCATCAAACACCAAGTTTGTGCAAATCAAGCCAATTTTCCTTTCAATATTCATTTTGCTTTCAAGAACACCATTTGTGCTCATTTGTAATTATCTTTGAGTGTTCTTTTCTTATTCTAGAATTGTGCAAACATCTTACCTTGTGAGGTTTTCTTGTAAGTTTACAAATTTGTAATCTTCTCTTTGGGAAAAAGAGTGTTCTCAAGAGTTGAGGTATACTCTTGAGGGATTTTGTAAGGTTATCTCTTTGGCCTCAAAAGAAAGAACAAATTAGTGAATTTGTTGGAAAATCCTTAGTATGGATAGCTAAGGTAGTGGACGTAGACTTTGTTTGAGAAAGTCGAACCACTGTAAATCGTTGTGCAATTACTTTCAATTTTTCTGCAAAAGCTTCCACGAAATTTTTAATTGCCAATTCACCCCCCCTCTTGGCCGATTCCGTCGATCGATTAACTCAACAATTGGTATCAGAGCCTAACTCATTTGAAGGTTTAATCGCCTCTTGAGTCGATTCGGGAAGAGTTATATCGATTATTAAAGTCATCAATGGCCTCCGCTTCAAACTTCGACTCCGGTCTCGATTCGATGCCCGTCAACAAGCTTCCTTTCTTCAATGGAGCTAACTATGCCTATTGGAAGAATAGAATGATGTACTTCATTCAAGCAAGTGACATGGGAGCATGGAATGCTGTAGAAGAAGGATACATCAAACCTCTCACTCATCCAAGGTTGTGGAGTGAAGGAGAGACAAGAATGTTCCAGCTCAACTCCAAAGCCATTCATATTATTTTTTGTGCTCTTGGACCAGATGAATACGGAAGAGTTTCATCGTGTACAACCGCCAAAGAAATATGGAACAAGCTTCAAGTCACACATGAAGGTACAAATGAGGTAAAGAAATCAAAAATTAGTATTCTAACGCATAGCTATGAAAATTTCAGGATGAAACCAAATGAAGACATCAAAGCTATGACGGATAGATTTTCAACGATTGTCAATGGTCTCAAATCATATGGAGAGATCATCTCAAATGAAAAGCTTGTGAGGAAGTTAGTCTACTCCCTCCCAAAATCATGGCAATCAAAGAAGACGGCAATCATCGAGTCTAAGGACCTATCGTCCTTAACTCTTGAAGAACTTATCGGTTCACTCCTCACTCATGAGATGATGCTTGAAGATGAGGTGGACCTTGATAAAGTTGAAGAGACACCAAAGGAAAAGGAGAAGAAGAAAAATATTGGAGTTGCTCTCAAATCCACAAAAGATGAGAGTGATTCTAATAATGATGATGATGACGAGGAAATGGCATTGTTTGTCAAACGGTTCAGAAAAATGATGAGACCTTACCAAGGAAGAAAATTCAAACGAAACGAAGGCCTCAAAAATGAACCAAAAGAGAAGGACCCAATCATTTGCTATGAATGCAAAAAGCCGGGGCATGTCAAATATGATTGCCCATAATTGAAGAAAAAGGGTCAATCAAAGAATAAGCACAAGGCTCATGTGGCTACATGGAGCGATGAAGAAAGTTTCGATGAAGAGGAACAAGAAGTAGCAAACTTGTGTTTGATGGCATTCGGGGAAGATTCTAAGGTAACCTCTAACTCATCCGATTTTGATGATTTATCTTATGATGAGTTATTTGAGGAGTACAATGGGTTGGCTTCGGATTATGAGAAATTGTTTTTAAAATATAAAAATGATGTTTCAAAATTGAAAAATGAAAACAAACTCATATCCAAAACCAACAACGATCTTGAAAGTAAAATCAAAGATTTGCAAA